GTCCCTCACTCACCCGACTCTCCTTTGGCACCACCGCCTTGGTCACCCTGCACTCCCGCGTCTGCGTCACATGTCCCAGCACGGTCTCGTCCTTGGTCTCCCCGGTTCGTTCCCCGAGTTTCCCTCCTCCCCCGCCCCCCCGTGCACGCCTTGTGTCGAGGGCCGGCTCCGCCGCGCCCCTCACTCCTCCTCTTTTCCCCCTACCACCGCACCACTGCAGACTGTGCACATGGACGTCTGGGGCCCAGCCCCGGTCCATGGGCCGCGTCGCGAGCGCTTCTTCCTAGTGCTTGTCGACGACTTCACGCGCTACACCACAGTCTTTCCCCTGGAGCGGAAGGCCGACGTGCCTGACGCTCTCATCCCCTGGCTTGTCTCTGCTCGTGTCCACCGCGGTCTCCCTGCCTTGCGCCTCCACTCCGACCGGGGTGGCGAGTTTGCCTCAGGTGTCCTTGGTCGCTTCTGTCGTGCAGAGGGCATCACCCAGACGTTTACCCTGCCGGACTCCCCGCAGCAGAATGGGGTCGCTGAGCGATGCATCGGTTTGGTCATGGAGGTGGCTCGCACCTCCATGATCCACGCCGGTGCACCCCATTTTCTGTGGCCGCTCACCAGCTTAACCTGTGGCCGCACCCCCAGCGGCCGCAGGTTTCGCCGACCCTTCTGTGGACCGGGTCCCCTGGTGACGCGTCTGCGTTCCACGTCTGGGGCTGCCTTGCTCACGTTCGTGCCTCTGGCACGGACAAGCTCACTGCCCGCACCCTCCCCTGCGTCTTCCTCGGTTTCCCCCTTGACGCGTCCGACTGGCACTTCTACCACCCGTCGTCCCACCGCTTCTTTCACTCTCGCGACGTCACCTTTGACGAGTCCGTCTCCTTCTACCGCCGCTTCCCTCACCGTGGTCCCCCGGTTACTCCCCCCCTGTTCCTGGTCCCTCCTTCCCCGGTGGTCCCTGCCCCTCCCCCCCCCCGCCCCCCCGTCCGGCCCCCTCTGGTGTGTCTCACGTCACCCCCCTCCCGTCGGTCGTCCCGGTCGACGAGTCTTCTGACTCTGGTAGTCCCCCGGCGCAGTCCTCGCCGTCTGTCCCTCCCCCGGTGTCTCCTCCTCCACTGCCTCCGCAGCCGCCGTCGCCGCAGCTGCTGCAGCCGTCGTCTCCACCGCCGCCGCCGTCGCGGCCGTCACTGCAGCCGCCGCCCCCGCCGCCGCCGCCGTCGTCGCTGCCGCTGTTTGTGGACTCTGGGGGTGCTGACGTTGAGGTCGGTACTAGTCCCGGGGCTCCTGTCGTGGCTTGTCCCGGCGGGCCTGGGGGTGGTACCGGTGCTGGCGGGGTTTCGGGCTCTGGGGGTGTCCCTTCTGGGGGTGCCGGTGTGGAGGGTTCGGGCGGTCTCCGTCGCGCAGCTTGTGGCCCTGGCGTTGGAGTTGTGTCGCCGCAGCAGCAGTCCCCGCCGGTGTCCGCCCTCCGTCTTCTCGGCCTTCCGTCCCCTGACCCTGTGTCTGTTCCTCTCCTGCCGTCTCCTCCTCTTCCCGTCTACGGCCCCGTGTTCCCTCCGCCGGACTCGTCCCCGGCTCGTTTTCCCCCTCGTTCCCCACCAGTGTCCCCTCCTCTGTCTCCTGACCCGACGCCCCCCTCTCACGTCTGGTCTCGCCGCCCCTCCCATGCTCGTCCTGTCTCCCCCGTCCCGCGCTCTCACCCTATGTTGCTCCGGTCCCACGCGTCTCGTCCTCCCCTCCTCCCGTCTCCTCCTCCGTCCTCTCTTGTCGTTGCGTCTCCTCCTCTGTCTGACTACTTTCGTACCGCTCGCTCTCTTGTTCCTCGGGTCCTTGCCTCTCTCGTTACCGACCCGTCTGTTCCAGTGTCGAGTCTTGACGCCCTTGTCGCTGCGGTCGCTGACTTCGCCTCTACCCGCCGCCTTGACTACGCCACCGCTCTTGTCTCTGACCCTGCCTGTCCTCCGTCTGTCGGGGGTGCTCCTGCCCTCGGCAGTGACGTCCTGGAGGACCGCCAGTTTGAGCTTGCTTTCCTGTCCGAGGCTGCTCCCCATCTCTGTTCCATGCTGCTAGTCCCTGAGGGTGACCCAGACGCTTTTGACATCCCGACCCCTCGTACTTACGCTGAGGCGGTTTCGGGACCCTGGGCCTCTCAGTGGATAGCTGCCATGGAACAGGAGATGGCATCTTGGAGATCCACCGGCACCTTCGTCGACGCAGTTCCCCCACCTGGGGTGAACGTGGTCGATGGCCGTTGGCTCTTCAAGGTGAAGCGCCCTCCTGGAGAGCCGCCTGTGTTCAAGGCGCGCTACGTGGCTAGAGGCTTCAGTCAGCGCGAGGGGGTGGACTTCTTTCAGACTTTCGCTCCTACGCCGAAGATGACTACTCTTCGGGTTCTGTTACACGTAGCGGCTCAGCGTGACTACGAGCTTCACTCCCTCGACTTCTCTACTGCCTTCCTTCAGGGCAGCCTTCACGAGCAGGTCTACCTGCGTCGTCCTCAGGGCTTTACTGGCACTTTCCCCCCTGGGACCCAGTGGCTTCTGCGGCGCCCAGTCTACGGCCTGCGCCAGGCGCCTCGTGAGTGGCACGACACGCTGCGTGCTACCCTTGCTGACCTGCAGTTCTTTCTGTCCTCTGCAGACCCCTCGCTCTTCGTTCGTGCTGGCCCGACTCCGTTCTACATCCTTGTCTACGTAGACGACCTGGTCTTTGCCACAGCTGACAGGGACGCACTGGCCTCCGTGAAGGCAGAGCTGCTGAAGAGACACACCTGCACTGACCTTGGAGAGCTGCGCCGTTACCTTGGCTTGCAGATCTCCAGGGACAGAGCCGCGCGCACCATCACCCTGACTCAGTCACACTTGGTGCGCCAGGTCCTTCAGAGGTTCGGCCTTCAGTTCTCCTCCGCACAGCCCACCCCTCTTCCTCTGGACCACAGACTCTCCGCTCCAGTTCCTGAGGAGTCGGTAGATCCCAGTGGTCCTTACGCTGAGCTAGTGGGTTGCCTCATGTACCTGATGACTTGCACTCGCCCAGATCTCGCATACCCTCTCAGCATCCTGGCTCGTTTCGTGGCCACAGGCAGACACCGACCTCAGCACTGGTCTGCCGCTAAGAGGGTTTTGCGTTATCTTGCAAGTACATCGAGCATGGGTTTAGTGCTAGGCGGACGTAGGCCAGTGGTCCTTACTGGACACACAGACGCTTCTTGGGCAGACGACGCCGAGACGCTCAGGTCTTCCCAGGGCTACTGCTTTAGCCTTGGCTCAGGTGCTGTCTCGTGGAGAGCTACCCGCTCCTCGTCTGTTGCCCAGTCCAGCTGTGAGGCTGAGATCTACGCCGGTGCCATGGCGGCACAGGAGCTCCGCTGGCTGACCTTCTTGCTCACTGACTTAGGTGAGCGGCCTAGCTCTGCCCCGGTCTTGTACGCTGACAACAGGGCCATGATCCTCCTGTGTCAGGAGCCTCGACTCGAGGGTAGAGCGAAGCACATCCAGCTGCGGTACTTCCTCCTGCGCGAGCTACAGCAGCGTCGCCAGGCTCGCGTAGTACACTTGGCCTCTGGTGCCAACACAGCTGATATCTTTACGAAGGCGCTTGCGCCTAAAGATCATCAGCGGCACTGTGTACAGCTTGGTCTGGTTCCTGTAGTCGCTCACTTACTCGGGCCTTGACTTTGTACTGTCCTATATATATGTGTACACTCAGACTGGACTTGTGTCCTCTCACAGTGGTTGGACTAGTAGTGCCGCCCTGTACTTGTTCTTGTCTTGTCTGTACTCCTTCTGACTGGTCTTTTAGACCCTTGTCTCAGAGGTTGGACTAGTAGTGCCGCCCTGAGCTGCTTATCTAGGACATTCCCCTATGCAGTCCAGGGGGTGTGTCAAACATGTTTATTGATCATGTTTGTATAGACTGTATAGGGTAACCTCTTAGAGGGTACAATATTTAGGTATATGTGCATGTACTCTCTAACTCTACAATTATTCAATTTCTAGGTTTGAGAGATCCTCCTATGTCAGGAACCTCCGACTAGAGGGTAGAGCGAAGCACATCCAGCTGCGATACTTCTTGTTGTGCGAGCTACAGCGGCGCGGCCAGGCCCCCGTAGTACACTTCCAATACAGCTGATATCTTTACTAAGGCGGTTGCACCTAACGATCATCAGCGGCACTGCTTACACATTGGTCTAGTTCCAGTAGTTCCTCACTTGCTATGACCTTGACTTGTGTGCTATTCCATATATTTTCTTGACTGGTCTTGTGGCTCTCGTCTCAGTGGCAGGACTAGTAGTGCTTCCCTGAGTTACTCTTGTTGAATTAGTACTCTTGCTGACTGGTCTTCGGACCCTTGCCTCAAGAGGTTGGACTAGTAGTGCCACCTTGGTTGCATGTTGCGTGCTAGGCACTGCCCCTTATATTTGAATTTCGTGGCAGAGTTGCGCAAGAACCCCGTTATAATGGTGTACGCCATACTAGCTAAAATTGATGATAAGGAAATACCATTTTCCTTACAGAAGAGAAGGTAAGGGTTCCTTGATTGTGGACGTTTTCTCGATACTGAAATACGGCTTGCCATTTGGTGTTCACAAGTGTTACGCTACATGTAACCCTGTTCGATTTTCTTTAGAGCTGGGCGAGCATTGAATGGGGGATTCGTGCGAATATACAGTGATTTTTGGCGGTGACCAGCGTTGGCGTGGATTGGTCGCGCAACACTCTTCGTGCGCCAGCAAGTGCCTGCTGTTCGCCGCGAGGGAGCGCCGAGAGCGGGCGTCACCCATGTTGGTCAAAGGAGGGCAGAGGGCGCTCCGCGCAACACGCACGACCGTGGCTTCACTCCGCCTGCTGTCGCGTGGAAAGGAGTGCTCCCCCCCAGGCTCCTGCACAGCACACGATGCAGGTTGGTGGCGCGACTGGACTGGAGCCGCATCCAGGGCAAGCTAGTTTGTGGCACCCCCATTTCAAATTGGCATATCACATTCGGCATTCGACTCAAACTTAACTCACTTCCCATTTTCAACGTAAACCACGCAAACCTGCTCTCGCCTTCCAGACTCACTACACTTTTCAAATCTCTATGGGCGGAATGGCTTCGAATCTCTTTCTCGCTGCCGTGGTCCTCTTATCATGTAAGGTCTTAGAAGTAGAAGTGTTCCCAACTAGTTCACGTTGAGAGTACATCTGACTTACCTGCTTGTTTCCTTGTGCAGTTGGCGTCGCTGCTAGTGCCGATGAACGCTGCACCCCAGCACAGCTCAAAGTAAGTAACTGCTGGATAGATGCTCCGCATTGTTTGTTTACACGTGCGCGTTGCACTGGCGCTAACAGCGGGATTCGTGGCTATGAATTGCAGAAGTGCGATTTCATCGTGAAGGGCAGTGCGGGCGCCGTCCCCACAGTGAAAGTCGAGGCCGTGAGCGGCAATCGAATCCTCTCTAGCGCGCCCATAGTGCACAAGTAAGAACCGCTACTATGTCCCCTAACTCGCTCCACACTCGCTTCTCAATCACTACTCACCCGCCTGCCGACTCGAAGATAATCACAGTCGCCTCTGACCCAATCGCTTGCGTGGTGCAATGATGCAGGAGCGGCCAGGCGGTGATGGGTGCTTACTCTTCGTTCTGCACATTCCTGAACGAGAAGAAGGTACGCCTACCCATCCATCCACCCCAAGGAGCTCCTGTAACCACTGCGCAACGACGTCTTTCCCTTGATCCGAAACCGCCGCCGTCTTTTGCTGCCTTTTCCGCTCCTGCATAACCTCATTTAACCGCCGCCGGTATGTGTCTTTCACCTTGTCTCGTGACTGCCAGCCGACGGGCGCATGCGGCAACTACTTTTTCTTCATGAGTGGCAACAACCAGTGGAGCAAGCCGAACCTCCTCGGTAGCCGCATGATCCCCAAGGAACTCGCGTCCGTAAGTGAACTGCCGTCGCGACCCCGTCGCTCCAGTTACGACGCGCCGAGTATTCTGAATTCAGCATCAACCCCTTCATCGCTCGTATTGACTCGACTCTATTCACCTCGCGTGTTGCTCTCGCGATGCGCGATGTGCGGCGTGCTGCGTGCCGTGTGTTTGTTTGTGGCAGGGCTTTAAGAACAAGTGCGTGCAAGTGAGGATCGACGGCGTGCAGCTGAGCCAGACAGGCTGGCTCAACAACGGCGACGGCAAAAAGGGTTTCCCACAGGTCAGTCCTCCGCTGCAGCTTTCTGCGCTCCTTGGGCTTCGAGCCTTTTCAGTGCGGAAATACATGCTCGTTTTTCTGCATCAACTTCCACCGTGGAACGGTGCTCCTGTTTCGCGCCAATTCTCTGTGCTGCGTGCACAGCGCTAGGCGCTATGTTCACCTCTGTTCTCTCCTTGTCTGTGTGTACCCAGGCGCGCCGCTGCGTCATCTTCAACACAGCATAGCGCGAACAAACCGTGGAATGCTCATTATGCGTCTTCCTTATGCGGTTCTTCAAGATTGAGTTCCTCAGAAAAAATGCAGTCGGCTCACGTAATCCTCTTTAGGTTCTCATGGCGCTATATCCCCAAATACAAGACTATGTAGCATAGGGCTTTGATTATTAGCTCTTTGTTCACCATCATGCAAGTTAATGGGATTATGATCATAGATGGCGATCTAGAAACCGATCAAAAAGACCAAAACGTCGTAGGAAAGTCGTTGAAAATGAAAGAAGTGTAGATACCGAAAACAAATTATCGAAGAGGACAACAGCGCGAAGCCGTCCGAGCAACGTGAGCCCCATGTTGGGCAAAACCCCGAGAAAGTCTGACGGCGAGGTTTCAGCGGACCGACCGATCGACGAGCAGAAGCAGCCACATGCGGCACGCATCAAGGCCGAGTCTTTTTATTCCTTGCATCCGTCCCGCCAATTCACCGCCTGAACTGACCTCGCTGCTGCCCAGCACGCCCTAGGGTCACTGCACTAATCGCTAGCCTACCCTGCCGGCGCTAAGTTTCCGTCATTCCCCCCCCCGCGCGGCGAGTCCAGCGATGGCAGGCACACTCTGTCGCCTGCACTGCCAGCTCTGGAACCCCGCCCACCATGCGCGGTTTCGGGTAGAGCTGGCGCAACGACTCAGGGCGCGAGGTGTGTTTAATTGCGCGGGCGGGTACTGCCAAGCCGGGTTGGACTGGACCTGTCGCGATAGCACCAGCCCACGCGGCCCCGCCGTTCAACCCCGTTTCAGTCCGCCTCCTCTGTTGTCACGTCGACCACATTTACGCGTCGAATGTCTCGCGACGTGCCATGCGTCTCGTCACAATCGCCACGGACTCTCGGCGACAGCCGCCGGGAGAGCGGGCGAATGGCGATTCGCGAGCGATTGGTCGTCGCAAGCGATCGGCGCCGCGCTCCCTCGCGACGCGAGCGCGCGTGGGACGATAGCGGCGAGGGCGGCTCCTGGCGGCTGGTCCGACCTAAGCCTGACGGACGATGAGATTAGGGTCGGAATTGCGCTGGACGCCGGGGAAGGGGAGCAGCGCAGCCGCGACAGGCGGCGGAAAGCACGCCGCGCGCGGGATGAAGGGGATCTGTTTGCGGGCCTGGGCGGGGACGCGGAGGGGTTTGGTGCAGCGGGGGACGGGGAGGCGGATGGGGGGTTCGCGGTGGAGGGGCCGACTCGCGGGGTGCGGGGGAAGGGGCGGAATGCGGCGAAGCGGAGTGCGCGGAAGGCGAAGGACTATGGGGTGGCGCTGGTGGAGCTGAAGCGCAAGGAGGTGCAGCGCGTCGTCAGGTGTGCCGCCATGCCTGCCGAATGTGGGCTGTGGGCTGCGCTGCGCTGTGCACTGCTGCGGAATGGGCTGTGATTTTGGGCTGTTAGCGTGAGAGGAGACGCAGGGAACGACGGGATGATACATAAGCTCTAATCTCGCTCACCTCCATGCCTTCTTTCCGTCGCCACCCTTGTCCCCTCCTGCCCCCCTACTCTTCTCTCTCTCTCTCTCTCTCTCTCTCTCTCTCTCTCTCTCTCTCTCTCTCTCTCTCTCTCTCTCTCTCTCTCTCTCTCTCTCTCTCCCGCTCCCTTTCTCCCTCCATCGCGCACCCCTGTCCAGCTGGATGGACCTCCCTGAGGGGACACTGGAGGCAGTGCAGCTCGCACAGGTACCCTCTCTCTCACTCTCTCACCCCCACTCTATCCGTCTCAGCTCAACCCACACAAACCCCACATCTCCATGCTCCTCTCCCCCCCAGCACACTCATTTGCCTCCTCCATCTTCCCTGTTGCCTCGCTTGTCCCATCCTCTCTCATGCTTGCGAGCGCCTTCCCTCCCTCTCCTCCTGGCAGCATGCTCTGCTCCATGCCATGCCATGCCATGCCTTGCCAGGCCATGCCATGCCATGCCAGGCCATGCCATGCCATGCCATGCCCACTCTCAGCCATCAATCCCTGCTCACTCTCTCCCCATCTCTCTCTCACTCCTGGACTCTCCTTATCTTTCACCACCCTTGCCCTTGCGTGTCAGACCATCACACGGCGAGGGAAGAATGGGTGGAGACGGCAACTTAGCTACATTGGTACTTGATGCACGCACATGTACACAGGCACACATGTACACAGGCACACATATACACAGGCACACATGTACACAGGCACACATGCACACAGGCACACATGTACACAGGCACACATGTACACAGGCACACAGGCACATCGCGCACATACACACACACAGTTCCCCTCACCAACCAACCTCCCTCCTCCCCTTTTCTCTCCTTTTCGCTTTTGCTTGCTCTTCCACACACAGCCAATCTCGCAGCTAGTATTTACTGTTTACTGTTTCCCTTGCCACCCATCAGCATGGCGTCATCATGACATGGCCGCATAGGCCTTGGGGTTTAAGGTTTGAGCTGTTATACATCCAAGGCTCCTCATTCCGCTCTTGTGTGCCCTTTCCCAGGGGGGCTGCTGCGAGGAGTACCAGAGGAGAGGATGGATGAGGCCATAGCTGCCGCCAAGTCTGGTGTACTGCCATCCTTCGTGGAAGAGGAGCGTGAGGAGGGAGAGGCTGAGGAGGTCGGATTGGTGGAGGTGGGGGGGGAATCGGAAAGAGCTACAGTGGTGGTGACACGGTAGGAAAGGCATGCTAGTTTTGGTCAGCGAACCGTAATTCGGTTATATCATGATTCGAGGAAAAGTGCACATTTATGTTTAGTAACGCCAATTGTACTGTAGCAGTGATTAAATCAGGCGTGCTTGTGCAGCTTAGAAGCTCCTCGTGTTCAGGCAAGCAGTAATTGAGCATGAACTGAAAGGTGGTGTACTGGTGGTGCCATTCATGCTGGAGTGGAGTGTCTCTCAGTCCCCTCCAGGCTTTCTGCCCTACCGAAGCAAGCGTATTGAGTAATTTATACCCAAAATTCTTCAGAACTGTTGTGTACCCAATTACCAACACTGTCTATAATATACACAGAGCGCATGGCTAGCTAGCAAACCCAGAAACCTCCTAAGCAGGCACCAGGAGGTCACTCCACATACTCCACAGGGAGGTCCGCCTTGAGGTACTCATAAATGCCGCCCTCGATGTGGCGCACATTCTTGTACCCGTTCTTCACCAGCACATGCGCCGCATTCAACGACCTGCTCAGGCAAGCAGGGGTGACGGTGACGGATGTAACGTAGCATGTAGCATAACAATCCGCGTAAGCTATGGATGCATGCACCCATATGGCGCTTATTTGAGCTCATTTTAGGAGCTGTTGTATATTGGTCTCTCCTTACAAGTACTGTTGCCCTGGCGTATCCAGTTCCGCCCTCCTTACTTCTTCCACCTCTCATGTACCCTACCCATCCATCCACCCACCCACCCACCCACACCCACACCCGTTGCTTGCTGCACATCACGTTATGTTCACTTCGCTCCCACTGCCCCCCCACTGTGCCCTGCGCGCTGCTCACCTGGACTCCTTGCCGTGAGGGAAGTTCTGGGTGGGCTTGAGAGTGCCGCCCGGCATGCACCCCAGAATGATCGGGGTCTCCTTGTCCGGGACGGCTGCTGCCACCTCTGTTACACGCAGAGCAGGCAGGGCAGGCAGGGCAGGCACGAGGGACACATTAGGGGGGCTGTGAGTTGCAGCACATCTCTCGCGCTCATGTCGTGGCGTCGTAGATGGATTACAGGTGGGCTGCTGAGGCCTTATTTCCATCAAGACATGTCGTGACACAGGAACTTCCCTCCGAGCCGTCCATTTCATGCAAGGGGAACGTCCCCTTGCAACCACGGATCCCCTACTCATGGCTCACGGATACTACCGTAAGTTGAGTTTTAACGGCCTTCCCTTGTACATTCTCGCCAGCGCCTCACAGCGTTCACCAAGCTCTCATGCTCTCGACCAGTTCAATATCCTCGCTACAAGCGTTCACCGGTTCTCACCAATAATTTTCCACCACCAAAAGGTGCACCTGACATGGAGATTTTCCCCGTTGGCGCACACGCCAGTGGCAGCGCGCGCGACTCATGCCTTGTGTTTCGTGCGTGGTGACTCACGCGCGACGAAGTCGGGGTTCTGCTCCGTGCCGTTGAGCACGCCGAAGAAGGCGAAGGCGGCGCGGCGCAGCACGTGGTACGGCGTCCACTCCTTGATCAGCCGGTAGAACTCCACGCCCACCGCGCCCTCGGGGTGCACCTGATGGCCGCACGGCGCGCGGGTGGCGGAGGGGGAAGGGGGAAGGGGGGAACGAGGAAAAGGTGCAGTTGAGGGGTGTTGGGGGAAGAAGGATGGGCGGGGATGGAGGAGTGGGGGGAGAAGCGGGAGCGGGGAGATGGGGATGGGGAAAGGGAGAGTCGGCGTGGGTGAGGGCATGCGGCGCAGAGAACATGAGTGAAGAGGGAGGAGCCCTGCAGTTGCTGCCTCAAGTGCGAAACAGTGGCCTCAAGTGTTACAGGTTCACGCGGCCCTGACCATTTTCGCCCTTCAACCTTCATTAACCAAGCCCCCTGAAGCCCCGTCTCCCCCCTTCCCCACCTTCTCCCCGTCTCCCCCCCACCCCCTCACCTCGTTGTACTCGGCCACCGTTCTGACGTCAATGATGACGTGCCCCTCCTCCTTCGCCAGGCGCGCAGCTTCCGCGGGCTTTACGGCGACCACCTGGGGGGAGGGGCGGGCAGGAGGGGTGGGGGGGGGAAGGAGGAGCGGGGGAGGGGGAAGCGAAACGGGCAGGCGGGAAAGGGGGATGATGCAAAAGGCGGGAAGAACGGTTTGGCGAAAAGGTGTGGTGAGACTATGCAAGGTGCGTGCGCTTGCGCGTGATTAACGCGTGTTCTTATTGCGGACCTGGACCGTGCCCTGAAACGAGGGACGCAGGCAAGTCGCATCGCCACAACGCACGAGCGTGCCGGTTGGCTATATCACCGCAATTAACGGCAAGTACGTACATTGTTCTTCGCGAGGAAGCTTCGCTTCTCCACCCAGTCGAGCTTCGCTGCGCGCCGGGGCACGAGCAAGACCGCGAGGGGGAGAGGGGGGTGTCGGGCGGAAGGGAATTGACACGGAAGCAAAGAAGCCTTTGTATACAGTCTCCCAAGAGGGTGAAGTAGCCGGAGAGCAAAGAGAAAGTAGTAAGGAGTTCGGGCGAAAGAACGATTGTACCGCGTTTTACTTGTCTGGTTCCTTTCCTGTGAAAATGGTTGTTGCAACCTGGCGCCCCAGGCAGGTCTCTGCACCTCGCATCTCAAACCTCGCACCAATCGAGCGGCCACGCACCTGATTTCTTGGTCTCAGTGGCAGCCGCCGCCACCACCAGCGGCCGCCTCACCGTCGCTGCTCGACTCCTCGTCGCGCGAGCGCCGCTCGCGACTCGTAGGGGCGCGATGCTCGCACGTTGGCGCGCGGAAGAGAGGCCACTGCGGGTGAGAGGGGAAACGGCGGGTGGTGGCGGCAACGAGGCTGATCTCTCGCGGGACGTCGAGTTAAGGTGGAGAGGTTTGAAGAATGGCAGCAAGAAACATCAGTTGTGACGTTTTTGCGAAGCCTTCGAATGGAGGGAGGAGGGACTGGGGCCAATCCTGCTCACCTCAGTTGCCCCGAGCTTTCACGCGCAGTCACAATGACTGCAGTGGGTAGGTTACACGCAACGGCAGCCATGACGTGAAGGTTGGGATGCTTGCTGTCAAGCAAATCGAGAGCCAATCAAGCGCGAGAAGCGGAAGGCTCCCGTGAGAAACGAGAAGGGAGAAGACCGGAGAGTATCGAGAGAGCAAGCGCTGAGATAAGCTGTACGTTGGACAAAATACTTGCTGGCTAAAGCAGAAATGGGACAGGTAAATTCAACGAATGCTTTTCTGCTCTGCTCTGGCGACTCCCAAATTGTGTGAGATGCAGCAGGTTGGAGGGGGGAGGAGATAACTCACTGTGTTTCAATCTGCCACGTGCCGTGATCTGATTAAAGGATTGTAGTGCTGCGACTCGGAAGAGTGAGAGCGCACACAACCTCGGAGATACACCAGCTAGCATCGAGTGCTGTGAGTGGCGCGACGGAAAGACTAATGTCACGTGTTGAGCCCTTCGGAAGCCACTTGGCAGTGCCTGCTTCGGAAAATCTGCAGAAAGATCTCTGCGGCGAAAAGTCATTGCAACTTTAAAACTACAAAACAGTGTTACTAACAGTTATTTGAGCAGATCTTATCCGAAAAAAGGGGCGTAGGTTAACAAATGGGGAAATAGACGTGTATTGCCCTAAAGCATTCTAACGAACATGTACGGAGTCAAGTGGTATGCAGACCGTCCTCCGCTCGACCTAAAAATAATTATCTATAAAACCACATCTACTTAGCTCCACCGTCGTATGGATGCACATCCAAGTTTCCCCTATGAACTGAACTCGAGGCTGTCCCGAGGATTCCCATGCATCGGTTTCTAGCTAGTGAGCGCCATAATTAAGCAAGCCCATGAACAGGAAAAGTTCCGCATCAGCCCCGAGGGAAGAATATGGGGGGTTGACAATCGAAAGTAGAGCACACCACACCACGTCTCAGGAGGACATCGCAGAGCATTAAAGTGTGTGGCTTGCGTTTTCGGAACGTAAACGACCATTACATTCCGGTCCGGTCCTGCTCTGAACACCCCCTTAGGAGCATCCACTTATTGCGGCAGGCCAAGCCAAGGATGGAGTCACCCTGGCATGTCGTTAACTAGATGCAGTAGCTTGACAGCTTCCATGTCATGATGCCCCCTGCTGCTCCTTCCACTTCACCAGCTTCTGCAGGAAATCCATCACCTGCCATGGCATCCGGGAAAGGAAAGGACATCCCACATTTCAAGCCCACACACTTGAAATCGTTTCAAGCCCACACACTTGAAGTCGTTTCAAGCCCACACACTTGAAATCGTTTCACTTCCACACGTTTCACTCACCATCATTGTAGTCCACCCCGACATAGCCAGCACCATCCGACACGCACACAGCACCATCCGACATGCACGCAGCACCATCCGACACGCACACAGCACCATCCGACATGCACGCAGCACCATCCGACATGCACGCAGCACCATCTGGCGCACACAGCACCCCTGACACACACAGCATCATCTGATACACACGCAGCACCACCTGACACTCACAGCACGCCACCACCATCTTGCCCCACTTGTTGCAGCACATCACAAAACGCCTCCAAATCAAACCCATCCCTCCCTTCCCAAACCATACCCACCCACCCTTCCCTCCCCCCCCCCACCACCCTCTTCCAACCCCACTCACCTCGGAGGGGTCTCTGAGCGAGAAAGCGGCTGCAGTGGGCTTGGCTGCTGCGGACACAATGATCCCACACCCTGACCCCCGCTCCCGCAGCATCTGGCGCACGCACGCAGTCAGGGGGAGAGGGGGCGGACATGAGAGGGGGGAGAGGGGAGGGCGGAAGGGAGGGGGGAGGAGAGGAGGGAGGGGATGCTGTGTGGCGGCGAAAGGGAGGTGAGGTGAAGGAGGAAGAGAGGTGGTGGCAAGCGTGGGGAAATAGGTGATGAGCATCGGGGTTGCAAGCACACTGGGCTAGCTTCAAACCTTGTTTGGGGATTTCCGCGGGTAAGAGTGGGCATGTGCGTAAGGCAAGAACAGCCCGCTCGCATAATTGAGCTTGCACGCGGTGGTGGGAGGCACATGGTGGTGGGAGGCACGCGGCGGCGGAGCTGACCTTGAAGGCATCTTCGTCGGTGCGGTCATCCCCAATGTAGAGCGGCAGCACCGAGCCATCATCGTTCAGACCTGGGGGTACAGGCAGGGGCGCCACCCATGCGTGGGAGGAGAGGGATAGGTTCAGGCTGGTGCGAGAGAGATGTGAATGTGATGGCAAGGGGAGGCGAAGAGTGACCCAGTCGTGAATGGGGCGGTGGCCGTGGTGGGAGGAACGGGCGAGCAAGCAGAGCACGAGACGATGAGACAACGGGAAGGGCGACAGAGCCGAGAGGGACGAGTGTAGAGAGAGGGAGAGCAGGAGGGAGAGTAGAAGGGAGAGAGGGCGGAGGAACGGAAGAGCGAGCTGAGCACTAGGGGCAAGTGGTGTGGGGGAGGGGGGGAGAGAGGGGGGAGGGAGGGAGGGAGGGAGGGAGGGAGGGAGGGAGGGAGGGAGGGAGGGAGGGAGGGGGCAATCACCGAGGGTGGTGAGGAGGTAGGAGACAGCCTTGCCCTTGTCCCAGTCCACAATGGGGCGGATCTCCAACACCTGACGCACGCACGCATGCAGGGAGGGATACGACGCACGGACGGACGCATTGGGAGAGAAGCAAGGTGCAACGGGATGCATGGTAGGGCGGCACGGGGCCGAAAGGAGGTCAAACGAGCAAAGGCAGCCAATCCACCCCACCCACCTCTTCACCCACCTCTTCACCCACCTCTTTCCCTTCCACCCCCCTCGGCCCCGCCCCATCCCCTCCTGCCCCCACACCCCCTCCACGGACCTTCCTGCCGTGGCTGGTGCGCAGCTTGGGGTGCTGGGCGACGAGGCTGGTGACGATCTCCGCCTGCTGCTCCCACAGCTGCACCGCGCCCACGCACACAGCAAGGGCCAAGGGAACACGGGAGAGACTTGGCCGCTGGGAAGTTGAGGACTACATGAAAGGCTGGGTAGTGTGCGGTGGGTGGGGGTGTGAGAGTGTGTGTGTGTGTGGGTGTGTATGTGGGTGTGTGTGTGGGTGGGTGTGTGTGTGTGTGTGCGCTCGTGTGTGGGTGTGTGTGTGTGTGTGTGTGTGTGAGAGAGAGAGAGAGAGAGAGAGAGAGAGAGAGAGAGAGAGAGAGAGGGAGAGAGAGAGAGAGAGCCTATGAGTCTCCCTCCAGCTATTTAAGCCCTCTCTCCAGCTCATTCTCTCTGTCTAGTTTTCTGTTCTTTAGTTTCTCCTTCCCTTGGTGGCGGGAGAGAGGAGAGACAGAGAGCGAGAGAGAGAGAGCCTATGAGTCTCCCTCCAGCTATTTAAGCCCTCTGTCCAGCTCATTCTCTGTCTAGTTTTCTGTTCTTTAGTTTCTCCTTCCCTTGGTGGCGGCTCGCGCCTGCGGCCGCGCGTTAGGGGACGGCAAGGACTCTCCATTCAGCAGTCAACAAAAACAAGCAATGATAACCCCTGACACGCACACACTCTAGAGTCTACATATCCTAGAGGCATGGAGAGCCTCTTCCGCCGAGCTGAGCGGCCCTCGCTGGCGGACACGTCGCCTACGCGCACATATTCATGGAGGACGCCCATCACGCGACCTGATCAGCCCCAGCCTCCTCGAGCAGGGCCGCCACATAGCCCACCAGGAGCTGGAGCGCTAACACGACGCCGCCAACGATGTCTACAGCTGCGGCCGAGTCTATGCTCGCCGACACGGCTCGCATCACGACGAGCAGGCGGGGGTCCAACACGGTTCCCGGGGCGGGCACAGGCTGCACTCGCGTCGACACGACAGCGAGATCAGCTGCTGCCATCGCACAGCGATGAAGGGGGTCGTGAGGCATCCTGCACGGGCTCGCTAAGCTCCGTAGCACGGAGTGCGAGTCCGCCAGCATCTCCACGGCGATCCCCATCGCCCGCCGCGCGTGCCAGAGCCGACGAAGCGTGGCGACTGGGACCGCCGTCTCCGCGTGCCGCCCCCGCCCTCGCAGCCGCTCCATCTGCAACCTCGGCGGCATCCGCAAGCCACCCGTGCGGCGCTGCTGCGACTCCCGGCGTGGAGATCCCTCACCCGGGGAATCCGCCCCCCCCATCTCCGCTGACTCTGCCCCCCCCTCAACTCCAGTCGGCGACGCCTGAGCCCGCCGGGGGGGAACAAACGGCCCAGCCGCCCGTGTGTCAAAGAACATCGGGGCCAGCGGCGGTTGCTGAAGCTGGCCACCGTGCCAGCCCATCGCCGAGGTCTCCGGCGGCGGCGGCTGCCAGCTCGGCAGCGTCCCCACCGTTGGAGCTGCCGTCGGCGCAGCCAGCGGATGCGACGGGCGGTGAGGGCAGGATAGCGGCAGGGGCTGGTCCTGGGGGACAGGGAGGTGAGGCGGCTGAGGGTGCTGCAACGGGGGCGGGGGCTGCTGCGCTGCGGACACGGGGGGAGGAAGGGACTGAGCCGTCATCTGCGGGGGGACGAACGGCGACGGGTTCACGTGCACAGACGGAAATGGCTGCGGAACGCTCACGGGCGCCAGTTGAGGCGGAGCAACCGAACGGAGCAAACTCTCCAACGTTGCGGCGGCGCGGCCCAGCCGCCTCTCCGCGGCCGTCCCTCGACTGTTCCCGCCGCCAGACCTCCACCCGCAGCGCTGGCCGGACTGCCCACGCTGCCTCTGAGGCGTCCGGTGCTGCTGAGTGGGCAGCGCCTGAGCGGCACGCTGGGGCGTCCCTCGGCGCGACAAGGCCGGCTGCGGCGGCTGCTGCTGCAGCCGCGGTGCTGAACCATGCTGGCCACTGCCCGCACGCTCAGGGGACTTCCGCTCTCGCCGCTGAGGGGTTGAGTGGCGGCTTCCCGACCGCCCAGGCATGCGCTCCGGGGACTGCTGACGCTCGCTGACGGGGCGGCGACACCGCGCTCCCAGTCGTGGTCCGACTGCAGCGGATGGCTCGGCCGACCCCGGCGGGGGACGCTCTCCCCCGTGCTCTCCATATCGCATGAGCGCTCGCGGCGGGGACGCTCCTCTCTCCCCGCTTCCGGGGGGGATTCATCGAGGGCTCAACGGCCTCCTACGGCCTCGCCCGCACGACGGATCGGAAGGCGCGTGTCGTGCGGAGAGACAGAGGGATGGGGCGGAAGCAGGGACGGCAGCACCGGGGTCCGGGGAGGCCGGGGGCGCGGACGTGGTCGAGGCCGGGCGGGAGCCTTAGCACGGGATGGCGGCCCAATGAACGGATTCCAACAAGCTGCGAACAAGGCTTAGAGAAAGAACTGACGAGGAAGAGAGGAGAGACAGCACCTATATACCGGTGGTGCTCCACGAATCATCCACAGAGGAGTCCACTGATACATTGGAGGAAAGGGCACCACCTCGTCAACGAGGCGGGAATCCATTCCCATCTCCCAGATCTCGCGGACGAGGACCTCTTGGCACCGAAACCGCTCAGGTACCGCAGGACTCTCCCGCCCAGGCGGCCAGGGGGACGACGCGAAATGACCCCAGCTCTGGGCCGGGAAACCAGCGAGCTGCGTGTAACACCCGTGCCAGTGATACGCAGTCAACCCAGACACAGCGACAATTTTCACCAGAGGAGCTGTCGTCCAACGAAACACTGTTAGCCGGGGTGGCGGGATGGGACATCGACCTGCTGTGCGACAGTCGCCAACCCCCGATTTCCCGCAGGATCCCCCCCAAACTTCGCCAGCTCTTCGCTCTGGCACTTCTGACACCTATACTCCATATCACTCGCAGGCCAACCAGCCTCGCTGGTTGGCGTCTGTTTCTTTTCGTCCCTCGCCTAACCCTTCGCATGCATTCGCCCAAGCACCCTGATTGGGCCACAGTGGATAAACGACTGCAGCAGATCCTGGCGGGCGAATGGCAACTGCTGTACCTGCTGACGCTGTGAATAACCCCCCCGCACCTCGCCACACGGCAGACTCCATCGGCAGGCAGACACGAGCGGAGGGGCTTGTCCGCCGTGGCAGTCTCAGACGCGCCCTACTGGCACTTGATTCAACACCAGTCAGCGCTTCAACCCCCGACGTCCTCGAAGCGTTGACGTCCAAGCACCCCGCCCCGCTGACTGAGTCAATCGCCTGGCCCGTCCTCCATGAATCGGAAACGAGCCCCACATTCTCGCAAGCTGAGTTCATCCGGTTACTCGGCCGTTGCGAGAACGGGGTGGGCGCAGGGCCTTCAGGAATGTGTTTCGAGCACATTCGCGAGGCTGCCCTCGCCAACGGAACGGTGGTCAGCAGACTGTACGCGCTCACAATCCGCCAGCTAAAAGGGAACTCCACCGCCGAAATTGCATCCCTCCTCACTGCCAGCCGCCTCATCGCTTTTCCTAAGCCCGGGGGCGGCACGCGACCCATCGCCATAGGCGAATGCCTGCATCGCCTCGTGGCGAAGGCGGGCCTTCTCACCATGACGGAGCAGGCAGATACCCACTTCTTACCTCTGCAGTTCGGGGTAGCAATACGAGCAGGCGGCGAGGCGATCATCCATGCAGCGCGCACCTACACAACCGAATTCCCCGCTGCCCTTGTACTCCAAGTCAACCTATCGAACGCCTTCAACAGCGTCGATCGGGCCGCGATAGTCGCAGGGCTCTTCAACTCACCCCTCCGACCGCTACTCCCCTTCGTCCAGCTCTCGTACGGCGCCCCATCACGCCTCTACCTCGACGCAGGCTTCAACAGCGGGCCACTCCTCAGTGCCCGGGGAGTTAGATTGGGGGACCCGATGGGTCCCCTGCTCTTCGCGGCAGCCATGCACCCGGTGCTCCAGGCGACAGCCTCGGCATTCCCTAGCGTTCTCTGCCTCGCGTATGCCGACGACATCACGCTACTCGGAGAGCCGTCGGCATGCCGGCGGCGTCACACA